CGACCCCGGCCGCGCGTCGCCGCCGTCGGGCCGCGGCTGCGTCCCTTGCCGCACGCCGTTGCCGTGAAGACGAGCCCCCGTGCCGTGTCAACAAGCAGGCGCCGTCGAGCCACCGCCACGTGGACGCGACCCCGGCCGCGCGTCGCCGCCGTCGGGCCACGGCTGCGTCCCTTACCGCACGCCGTTGCCGTGAAGACGAGCCCCCGTTCCGTGCCAACAAGCAGGCGCCGTCGAGCCGCCGCCACGCGGATGCGACCCCGGCCGCGCGTCGCCGCCGTCGGGCCACGGCTGCGTCCCTTGCCGCACGCCGTTGCCGTGAAGACGAGCCCCCGTGCCGAGCCCCCGTTCCGTGCCAACAAGCAGGCGCCGTCGAGCCGCCGCCACGCGGATGCGACCCCGGCCGCGCGTCGCCGCCGTCGGGCCGCGGCTGCGTCCCTTGCCGCACGCCGTTGCCGTGAAGACGAGCCCCCGTGCCGTGCCAACAAGCAGGCTGAAGTCGCATCTGTCTTTTACGCTGACTGTTTTCTTTCTTTTCTTCAAGTCCCTTTTTTCCACGTAATTTTTTGAGCGCTCGCTCGCACATGCTTTGTTGCTCGGGAGAGGCTTGCGCTGCTACACGCTTAGTTTTTTTTTAACCCTTACCCTTCGCTAATTCGATAATAAAAAACATTCTCACCACTAAATTGTCGATGTAATTTTGATTACGAATAAATTTTTTTATTAGAACATGGATTATAAATTAAAGTTTGATATCCAATCTAATCTAAATAAATGTATCTCCAAGTTGCATGCATATACTAACGCAATCCTTAACAAGGGCTGCCATGTAAAAATCGCAAGAGGTCTCAATCACAATTATATGAATCAATAGGCCAATCTTTGACACAATACAACTAACTCCTTAACCGACCGTAATCATAGATTAAAATTATATATTTTATGTGTCATTGAATAAAGTCACGGAACTCAATACCTAACCCTATCGACACACACAGATAGTATGAGAATTAAAGTAATAATATATTCATGAGTAAATATTTCTGTGCGCTTCATATAGTAGAAGGAAAAATCTATTAAATTACATTTATATAATTTGATACATGCTTAATTGATACTGTCATATTATTCTTAATATATTAAGAGTTAAATGCATCATAGATCTATTAACTTTTGATGGTGTGTCATCTAGGTCCATCAACTTTTAAACTGTATTTTTTGTCCATTAACTTTTGGTGATGTGTCATCCAGCTCCATCAACTTCCAAACTGTATTTTTGGGTCCATTAACTTTTGGTGGTGCGTTATCCAGGTCCATCAACTTTCAAATTACATTTTTGGGTCCCTAAACTTTTTAAATAGTACATCGTAGGTCCATACCCCTTCGTTTAGCGAATAGATCGGACATGGCACGCCAAATAAGCAACCACCTTGGACTAGGGGCCCGTTCGCTTGCCTTAAAATCCAGTTTATTCGGCTTCTTTTTTCAGCTAGAACAGTATTTTTCTCTCACAACAAATCAGCCGAAACAGTGTTTTGGTTTTTTTTTTCGACAAGCTAACAGGGCCTAGGTGATGAGTCCATAGCTCCTCAAGATGTTCATGGAGACTTGTTTAACAATAATTCAAATGTAACGGCCGGTAATTCGTTAATATCCTTCGGTATTAAATTTGGGACTATTATTTTTAAGGAAAAATATATTGTGGACATGGAGAAATTTACAACTGTTGGACTGTCATCAAAGATATTTTATAGAGGTGCCTTATTATTGCGTGGAAAGAAGAAAATGAAGCTAACAAAATACATCAGTACTAATTCTAAAGAGGTGGAGATCATCAATGAAATTTTCCCAACGTGATTATCATCCTTACCGTAGTATTTTATTATTTTCATACGTTAATTTCCTATCCAGTTGTGACACACGATCTTTTATCTAGCATATAGCTTTTAGTGCCTACGTGAGTTAAATCGGTGGCTGCGTTTAGACATGCCGTGCATGTTAGCCGAATTAGGGACTCAGGTCAATCGGTCCTAGTTGGGCTGGTGGAGTCCGAGTTTTGTTTGGGTCAGGTGACCTGCGTGTCTATACCTATGGCCTTCGGCCTTGTACCGGGTAGATTAGACTGAATTTTATTGTGGAGTTTATTCCCCATCGAGCCGCCGCTCGAGAATCCCTAAATGGTGATCCCGTCAGATTCTTCATATTGAAGATTATCTCCTGATGGTGATCTCGTCCTATACTCCATGGTGGCTAATTTTTTGACGTGCCATGTCAGATCTATTCGCTAAACAAAGTGGTATGGACCTACGGTGAACTAGTTAAAAAATTTAGGGACCTAAAAATGCAATTTAAAAGTTGATGAACCTGGATGACACACCACGAAAAGTTAATAGACCAAAAAATGCAGTTGATGGACCTGGATGACATACCACTAAAAGTTAATGGACCCAAAAATACAGTTTGAAAGTTGATAGACCTAGATGATATACGACCAAAAGTTAATGGACCAACCATGCATTTAACTCTTATATTAACTTATATTATAGATATTGTGGTCATCAAAAAATTTATAGCTTTTAAATTTTATAAAAAATGTAAAATATAAATAAATATGCAACACTCCTGTACTCGTTTCTCATTAATGTTTGATTTTTTATTCCCGTTGTAATGCACGAGCATATTTGCTAGTAAAATAATATTATTTGAAAAAAAAAATCCTAAGTATTCTATTGATCGATCTGGTTCCAAAGAAACAAAGATGCTTCTTGAATCTAGATCAAGATCAAGAAAGAAGGTGAAAATAATTTTCATTGTGGTCATGCGCATTACACCCGGTTTCATCAGTGTACAGTATGAAGTATCTTGTCACTTGGGTTCCTACATTCTTGTTAAAGGTAGAATCGACCCTTGTGTAACAAATAAACAGTAATATTGTGTCTCTTCGATGGATTCATTTTCAGCTCATAAGTAAATTCTAATAGTCAATTTAGGATAAACTCATTTATGCAGAGCTCATTTGTACATTAGGCCTCCCACTACAAAGCGTCCTCCCATAACCATCTTCACCTATGTTAGAGTGTATGGTTATATCCAGAACTAAACAGATCTACTAACCAAAAAACATGGAAGCATAACTACCATAAAACAAAATACACAAACGAGAATGACACACATGCAACCAAACAAAGTTAGACTGCATAGCTCAAGCCTGGATAGAAAGCTAACAACCCAACCAAACACAACCTATATGTCAGTATTTATATTTAGATTTATCAAAGCATTAGTCCGTAATTTGAGTTGAACCATTAGATTTATCAAAGCATTAGTCGATAGATTGAGATATTACAAATCCAAATAAAATGTTTAGAGCTTGAAATTATCTTTAGAAGCTTCCAAAAATAAGATTTAGCTCTAGGGAAATAGAAAATTATTCTTAAACTTTCTTATAGATGTCTAATCTTGTCCAATATGAATGCATTCATCACTAATGTAACACTCATGCTGGATGCATCTCATATTTTTGTACTAAGAAGTTTTAAAACATGTTTAGATATTGATTAGATTTAAAAAGCGAAATCTACCTTTAAAACCACTTCGAACCAACATAGTGAGGTAGTTAAACGATTTTGAGAGTTTAAGATGTTAAATATCAAAAAGTTTTGGGGTTTGAGGAAATTTAATTTGCATGTTTCTTTATAGCAAAAACACTAAGGTAATATCAAATGTAAGTGCTCTACCTTGTGGTGTTACCCTAGAAGGTAGAGCTTCAATTGCTGAACGTGACACTATTTAGGTTATTGGCTTAATAGCAAAGATAGAGTCAGATTCTAAACAACATGCTGTAACTAAACTTGTTTGGGGACCCCATATGGTATATGGGCCAAGCCACCTCCCAAAAGAGGCCCAACTAGTGCTAGTTTAGTGGCATGTAATGGCCATCCCCAATAAGGAGGCCACTTGTTAGTATCCACTGCCTATATATAGTGTCCAAGGGTATGAGGACAAGTGACTCTCACACTCACTCATTTGCTTGTCTCAAAACCCTATTGTGTCCCCTCCACCGCTGAGCTCTCTCTCCCTCTTGCCTGTTCACAGCCAAAGTTCTACGGAGCCTTCTCCGGGGAGCCTTCGCATGAAGCCTTTGCATGGGGGCCTCCACACGGAGCCTTCACAGGCGAACCTCCGCACAGAACCTTCACCAAGGAACCTACACACAGAACCTCCGCTAGGGGACCTCCACATGGTGCCTTCACCGAGGAATCCCTGATCCGTAGGGAGCCTTCACTGGGGGACCTCCGCACACAGTAATTTCCCCGAGGGACCTCCGCATGGTGCCTTCAACAAGGGACCTCCATATGGTGCATTCATTGACAGACCTTCTCCAACTAGCCTTCACTGAGGAGCCTTCTACTCTCTAACCTGTTCGTCACCATTGTCCCAACAGATCTACTTCTTTCAAATCTACCATGCCCACTTCATTGGCCATCGGAACTAAAGATCCATTGTATGGTATGCCATTGAACTTTTTATTGCACAGAAACTGTTTTACAGGAGATGCCATCCACTAAGGCCTTGGTTGTTGAGCCAACATACCCAAAACATATCATGAGTATCCCCGATTCGGTTGCCAAGAGCCGAATGAATGATCAACATAATTGTCTACCTGTGCACACTTTTTGACTTTTTTTGGAGGTAGACATAGACACTTTTTTGACTTATGGCCCAACAGTACCACCAAAGGGTACAATAATTCTACTTGGTCCAACTTCTAGTCAAATTTACAACTGATAAATCAGATATGCCTGTTTATAATACCGGCTTGTTGTAAGGTTTACCACAATTGGATAGCACAGTTTTAGAAACTGGCTTAGGGGCGGTTTGCCTCAGTACCGTGTTTGATAAGAGACAATTGTGTTGGAAAAGAAATCTCCAATCAGCAATTTCGCTTGATTCTACATTTGTATATATAGTCTTATAAAGCACTATAGTTACTTGAAAAAAAATCAAGACATGTATTGTTTTATATATGTAACAAATAGATTCCCACTATGACATATATAGTATTTTGTTATTAGTCCGTCTGCATAACAAAATGGAACACAGTAACTCAGTTCCTTCCTCTTCTTAGAGCACCTTTTCCCCTTCTGCACACACTTTGAATCAAGAATCTCACAGCTGGCTATGTAGCTGTAATATGGCGGTAAGTGTGATCTCCACGAGAGAACCTCAAATTTCCCTTTTGGTTCAATTCTTCCATACATTACTTCATCAATAGTTATTTTTGGAACCTCTTCATGGCCAGACCTGACTACGTGGTGTCTGGCAACTTGGACATACTGATAGATATTTGATATTCTACAGAGATTGTAGTGTCCATTTTCCACTCTTGTATTATTTGGACCATTACTGCTTGGAACTAAGTTTTCCTCCCAATTTCGTCTAACACAAGCAAGAATCGTGCGCCAGTGCTGTGTGCTAACATTATATCTTAGAAGGGCAGCGATATGTTTTGAATTTGCAAGAGAGCCTGTGAAGTCCCCAAATAAAGCATCTTGGCAATAGTACTCCTCAAATATTTCCAAAGCTAACGATGCAAGCTTGGGTTGGTCTTCAGCATATGAGCTTCCAAACAAAAGCACCTTGAAGAAGTACCAACATGCTTCTCGACACAAAAAATCCAACCTTATAGGTTCCGTCGTTCCAAAGTTTGTTACTTTCTCTGATCTACTTGTTACTATAATTTTACTGCCACTGGGAAGGCAACTTTGAGAGGCGGATAACAGCCTTCTCCAAGCTCCCTCTTCAACATCCCCATCTAGCTCGATTATAACCAGCAGTTTTCCATCATTCTGGCTGCTATTTTTGTATTTGATTATTCCTCCATCCATATCGTTCAGGGTGTGTTGTTTTTCTTCGATGAACTTGTTTCCACTGAAAAAGACAATCTGAGAAAAGTGATTTCGCACCCTTATGTCATAGCAAACATGCTCAACTAGTGTGCTCTTTCCAACTCTTCCTTGCCCAATGATTGGCAAGACACCCACTCTAAATGATTCACCAAGAGGCTCCTTCTGTAGCAAAAAATAGATGGTTCGTTCCATTTCTGCCTGGCGGCCAAACATGCATTTCTCAAGTAACAGATGCATGCTATATGGTTGGCGGAACATTGGTGGGTAGTTGTTCAGAAAAGCTACAAACTCATACATATCAGTCACCATGTTCTGCACACTATCAAGTGTCAGTTTTAACTCCTTTTTGCCTTGTATACTATTAACATCAGAGGGAGGAAAACGCCGCTTGCCTGTGTTGGATATAGAACATGCCAAGGAAAAGTTTTGATGAGCGTTCACCTTTGCTTCTTGGTCGTCAAGGTACTTGAAATTGTCAAGCACGTAGTAGCCTTTGTACATCTCTTTCCGCAGCATTTTGAGTTGTTGAAGCATTCCGTTGTTTGTGATGAACCTCCCCTCGGCTTCCTCAACGGTGATCGCAACCCGGAGCAGCGCCTTCTCTAGTTTCTGCAGGCTCTCCTCCTTGGACACCGTGGACATGGTCGGGTATTTGTTGATCAAGAACGATAGGAATCTGCTGAAGACCTCACCTACAGCAGCAGAAAATAGCGCCTCCATTTTTGGAGCCCTCCTAGCTAACAGGATATATAGGGTTGCAGCTGAACTGGGAAGGGAGATGCACAATGCTTTAGTGTTTTATCAAAGAATACTATTACCATTCTTGTGTGCCATACTGCTAGCTTTATAGCCATGGAGAGGTGTAGTCAAATATACAAGGACATGGCCCTACAATTATTATTATTATTATTATTATTATTATTATTATTATTATTATATGTAAGAAATCAATGTAAACCAAACGAATAGTGTGGATATGTACAATGAATGTGGCAACTATACGTGCGGTTGTGCCATGTGAAAACAGTGACAGAAGCGGAGACAGTCAATGCCATAAAGATGGCTGCTAGGACCGAAAATTCAGAGTCAAAGGGCTCCGTTAATAGCCTGGCCGGTATCATTGACTGAGGCCGTGGGTGTCACATCAGATGTTATATGGGGTTATCACATGGGGTGTTTAGAAACTAATAAAAAAATAAATTACAGAATCCACTAGTAAACCGCGAGACGAATTTATTAAGCATAATTAATCCATCAGTAACACATGTGTTACTATAGCACTTTTATTGTCAAATCATGAACTAATTAGGCTTAAAAGATTCATCTCGCAAAGTGGTCGCAATCTGTGCAATTAGTTATTTTTTAATCTATACTCCCTCGGTATAGGAAAAGAAAGTTGTTCTGCGACTAAATCCCATTTGCGTAAAGGAAGTCGTTTTGCTCATTCTGGGACGGCTTTGCCCCTCCGCTTCGCACGCCGCGCTCGCTCGTTTAACGCTCATTAATCACTGCGTTTCGCATGCCACGCCGCGCGCTCGCCTCCCTTCGTCACCGCGTTTCGCATGCCGTTTAACGCTCATTTAGTCACCACGTTTCGCAGGCCGCGCCCGCCCGCTCGCCAACGCTTCCTCGCCGACGCCGTGCTCGCTGCTTCCTCGCCTACGCCGCCGCTCGCAGATTCATGGACGCCGATGCAGCGGCGAACTCTGTGACGTCGGAGGAGTTAGCGCCGGCGGACTCCATGGAGATAACGATGGAGGATGACCTCGAGCAGGAACCCACGATCGTTGCTGGCGCCATGGAGATGACTTCGGAGTCCAAGCCTTCTCTCTGTGTTCGTTGCGGCATGACCCACAATGACAACGACGATGAAGGCTACCGCCTAGCTCGCCGCCTCGCTAGCAGGTGTGCCCGTTGCGGTCTTGTTCACCGCGAGTACGATCTCGCAGCAAGGATAATGGATGACATGGAAAATTTTGATTGCGAGATGTATATTCCTGATGTCAATAAGCTTCAAATGTATGGCTACACCATACTTGTGCCTGAGAACGTTTTGAAGAAGTTGGAGGAGCATAAGGAAGATGAAGCAAGATGCAAAGAAAAAACAGTAAGGTTACATGTCCCATTCATTCAAGCTAATGTATGCATTTGTTTCTACTAATTTGCAAGGATAATGGTTTCATGCAGGAAGACTAGCAATGGCATCAGCTAGCAACAACACCTCACAAGGGATTTGCAATAGCAGCCGATCTTCTTTCTCTAGTTTTTCTTTTTGCATGTGAGGAATCTTGACCTGGTTGCATCCTTTAACCGTCATGGCTTCCTTCAAAACACTCTGAAGTGTTACAAAAATTATGGTTGCTTTGTGTGGACAATACTCTATGAATGCCTACAAAACATGTGTTGAAGAAATCAATCAATGGGTAAATTAGTTGTTCAAAAAACAATGAAACAAGTGAACAATTGATCCATTTACCTGTTGCACTGCTGGAACTAGATCTTCTATTGTTTTTGCATTCTTCTTGTATTGACTAGATTGAATAGCTCAAAAAACCCCAAGTCTAGAATGTTGAAATCCAAAGAATTGGGTGGTTGACAAATTAGACGAATGTCAAATCCTTGTTGCTTAGCAGCCTCACAAAAGACCAGATCATTCACAGGTAAATGGGAAGGTGCATTATCTTGTTGTATGAAAATTGGTTTGTTCACATCTTCTCTTGCCCATTTGGCTCGGATGGTAGGCAATACTTTGTTTACCATGAAATCTCTAATCACATCTCTTGTGATTGAAGTTATGGGCTTGATAACTTTGGCTCCACGAAGACGATTCTGACTTCTTACAATATTTCGATATGTGATCAATGGAAAGCAACCAATTTTCCCATCAAAAATACACTCCCCATCCCTAAACCTCGGCCGAGCACAAACACGCAAAAACATGAGACGAGGGATGTAATTCTTGTTCTTACAAGTGCGATGGGGCTCATCTTCCTTGGGTAGCAAGTAATATTTCTCATATTTTTGAGAGATAAAACCATTTTTCATCAATGAACACAAAGTCAAAAAAACCCCTTAAATCTTGGATCACCAAGCAAATCCTTCTCAATCATGTCAACACACCACTTTAACCGAGACTTCTTGTTAGCATCTGTGAGGTATGGGTTGATGCTACTAGAGTGGTGCCTAAGAAAACCTTTTTTCAAATACCTTTGTATCTTTCATTTGCTCATGTTAAGTTTGCTACACACATCTTCTATGGTCATTCCTTCCTTGAGAGGAATGTTGTGCAATTGCTCCAAATCAACAGGGATTGCCTTACGGCCACATCTACCCTTCTTTCGACTAGCAACCACAACCGGAATGCTATGAGCAAGTGATATTTTACCTCGCTTCCACAAGCGCTGAACTAACCGAATGTGTAGTCCAAAATGATCGGCAACAATTCTCGTATCTTTCTTGCCTAGTTTGCCATTCTTGCTTCTAGCCAACAAAGCTTGATAAACTTGTTTTGTGACTTCTTATGTCATGTCTTTCCTTTGCTGGTTCACTTGAACGGAAGCCTCAACATCATGTTCTAGTTGTAAAAAAACACTAAATCCAACGATTTTGATTACGAGCAAAGTTTAAAATCAAGGGGTTTATCTTACCAGCGAGGTTTTGTACAAAATCAAAATCAACTGCACCATATTCGTCCAGTGGCAAGTTCAAATCAAATCCTATCAGAAAGGAAGCATTGAACTAGTAAGAAATGAACTGGCCATGTGACACATGAAACTAATAAGAAATGAATTGGCCATGATACTATGAGACATTACCGTTGCCAGTTTCCAAGGAAACTCGTTGAGGTCGAACCCACCATTGCCATCTTTGTCTTCCAGTGCCGGCGCGTTTAGATCAAAGGTACCAGATGAACTGGCCATTTGTGACTCTAAGCTAGCAAATGAACTGGCCATCTTCGTCTGTTGCATGGGGCGTTTAAATAGCTAGCAAATGAAACGCGAGCAAATGAAACGCTAGCAAATGAAACGCGAGCGAGAGCCAGCACCAACGCGTGCGATGCAACGAAAATGCTCGGCCAGCGCGCGCAACAGACGAAAGGAAACCCAAAAAACACGGCCAGACGCTAGCAAATGAAACGCGAGCGAGAGCCAGCGTCAACGCGCGCGATGCAACGAAAATGATCGGCCAGCGCGCGCAACAGATGCTCCACACAGTGCCATGCAACAAAAACAGCGCGCGCCATGCAAGACAGGCAAACGCGCCATGCAAAAAAATTTGCACCCGTTAAGAATCGAAACTGGAACCCCAAGTCTCGGGAGTTGCTGCGCTAACCAATCAAGTTGCATGAGGTTGTTGTCTACGAAGGACCCGCAACCATATTTAATAGGGGTAGACAGGGAAAACTCTATCCTAAGTAATCACTCCTTGGTATGCTAAATGCTGTGCTAAATGACTTTCTTTTCCTATACGGAGGGAGTATTTAATACTCTATGCATGTATCAAACATTCGATATGATAGGGTGTAAAGTTTTGGCTGAGAATCTAAACAAGGCCTAAAGGAGTTGCTGACGCTTAGCATTATTGGCAGGGGTATGACTTCAAAGTACTTTGGACACAGCCACATGTCTAAGAGGCACGGATGCATGTTCCGATACGCAATTTGATAAATAAATGCTCCAAGCCGCAAAGGCTGACATTTGTTCACTCCACTAGAACCCTTATCATATCGATTTTAATGTGCATCTAGATCTCTTTTCATCTATTCAGTGTCTTGAAATATATCGAAGATTTCACATTACATGACCAGGCCTCGGTCTTTAGAAGTCCATTACGCGCCAATCTTTAAAAGTTTGTCGACCACTTAAACATGAGGGGAGAAACTCTATCTCGAATTTGATATGATTTTCCCCCATATATGCAGGATTGAATTTCTTCTAGTATCATCCTTTCGTTTTGACCGGTGCGCTAGGTCTGTCCAAGTCCATGTCACCATCAAGCATCTTGTCAGAAATAGTCATATGGCATCACACCAAAATTTTGAAATAATCCATGAACCATGTGTAGGAGATTATTAGAATTCGTGGAATAGTCAATATATTATAGAGTCTTTTGGGTGGCTTATATATGAAACAGACGGTGACAGCGCCTAACAGGAGGTGAATTATCTTCTTGAAGAACTAAGGCCAAATTTAGTTATAAAAACCTACAAAGGTTCAATTACATGTGCATTAAGTTTTTTCTAAGTGTTGTTATATCTAACATCAACGGAGACCCTAGTTCCAATCCTAAGCATGGATATGATCCCGTTTTTCTGGGCAATTGATACCCCCTCATGTTCCATTACAGAATATTCCATACTTGATTAGAGTTACTCATGACAAAGAATGTGTTACTCATGATAAAAAATCGAGGAGAGAATAACCAACTGATCTAAGTGTATTAAGAAGTAAATGGAACAAATCATCAAAAGTTGGGACAATTTTTCACTATATTCGTTAATTATTTACATTTCTTTGCATTTTTAAAATGCTCAAATTTGAGCTGAGTACATGAAATAATGGGATTTTTGATTCGAAAGATGGTAAGTTGATTCTAGAGTATGGTTTTGGCCATCCGACGCCACCACTTGCATGAAATTTTTGAAATTTTGCCACGCCTCCACATGCCATGACAACACAACTATTTTTTTATGCTATCTGATTTTATATAATTTAAAAAAC